AGTGCTTTGTTTTATCCAGTAAAACGGCTGTTTTTAGGACATCCACAAGTATATTGAAACACTGAAAAGTAACCTAGATGTTTACGAGTTGCTTCTGAGGGTGCCAGCTGAGAAAAGCAGCAGATGCCAGGCGACTTTAAAGTCAATTGTTGAAAATTTGCGATCTGTAAGCTGATTTACTTCATCCTTTCACCACTCAGTTTTTTGACGCCCCTCTGCTGTTCGGTCCCTCCGCATAAACTAATTTTTTATATCGCCGTTTAGCGCTACGTAATTAGTACCTTCTCAGAGTGAATGTCTATTGTAAAACCAAGAAATAACTTTCGCATTTCAGTATAACTGTGAGTATAAATTGAAGAACGATTTAAGGCTGGTTTTTAAGGCCGCCAGCGCCTTTTACCAGGTTTGAGTTCTTTCTTAGTTATCACGTCGAGTTTATTACTTCGATATGTTTCATTACGTAAAAGTAGTGTATTAGAGCTATTTCTAAGCGTTCATTTATGTCTAATTTATTCCCTTTTCTAGGGCAAAAAGGGGAAAATGAAGCGTATCGAGCGAATGAGGGAGTCCTTAAATATATGATTTTTGTGTTTTAAATGTTAACTTGAAGCGCATTTTCTCGGGACTTTCTTTTGTCCTTTCAGAAGTCTCTTTCTTGCTTGTGTACAGTAGTCATGTTTCTAACAATTTTTAATCTGAATAGTGCTTGTCGACGGTTGTTGGAGCCGAAAACTTATACTCACTGTCTGCGTAGAGCTTAAGGCATTTTGCAACGTAATTTCAAATGATTCAAGGTATTTTTATAATTGAAAGATCATTTGTGACAATTTACGCTCACGACTTGCGGTCTTTAATTGTCCTTAGTTCACACTTATTGCTGCTTTAACACCACAGTATGTCTATTTCTAGGTTACCCATATCAGTTAAGGCTCTGACGTGTTTGTACCTGCAAGTTCTTTGAGGCTTTGCTGGAACACTTGTCCTGAAGCTTCTGCATCAAGGGCAACGGGCAGCATTTCTTATGTATTACAAACTTATGTAACTAGTTTTACAATTAACTCTTTTGAATGATCTCAGTCATTTCTCTTTTATCTACGTTTTTTGTCGAAAACGGATTAGCTTTGTGTTAGGGAATTCATGGCTTTTTTGTTGATGTTGTTATGGTTTTAGCGTGTTTTATGTAATTCTGTGATAAGTAGATGAGGCTTGATCGACTCAATAAATATCATTACTTTTCATTCTTGCTACACGCGCGTAGTAAGAGGGATTTTGTCTATGGCTTCCTGCACCTATTCTGCTGAGTAAAGTGCTGCTATTTTTAGCTTACACTTCGCTTCTTAGATGCGAACCGGTGCATATTTTTCGTCCGGGTCGGTTGTAATCGCTGTGATCGCTTCACTTTCGTTACAGAATTCGCGTGACTCTGCAAAACCGCTTTTTTGAGGCTCCGGACGACACCGTTTACATCGCCTCAGGCATGCTTATTCTAAATTCGAGGGCGGGATGAGGGGTGTGGGCCGGCGTTGTTCGTGAAAGCGGTGATGGCTCATGTCTCTAACTTTTCAAGAGTCAGTTTTTCTGTAGTTGGGGTTCGCGTTGCAGTGTGCAGATGTTTAAGTACTCCAAGATACCTCTCTGTGGCTTGTCACAAACGGTCTTGTGCTCTACGTTCGATGGGCTGTTTTTTAAAAGCTGATTTAAAACTACTGTCAAGGAGCTTTGTGATAGAACGGTCCGCAGGGTTTAACGTTACTCGCTGACAGGCTTAAGGCCATTGTTGGAGCCCTGAAAATTCGGCATCTTTGTGCTTGCCGGGAGTCAGGAAGCGCTGTGCCTGAAATAAGCGCTACAGTGTTGTCTCCATGAAAAAAGCCTTCTCGTCGCTGTACAGTTGAAACATGCCACCTTGCGATATTCCTGTTAAAATAAACACAACGTTGACGTAGAAGCTTAAAGATTCGCTGTCTGTTGAGCTGCTACTGTATGACGCACTATTAAGTAGAGAAAGAGTAATTCTAACTAAAAGCAAATAGACAAAGCTGCACACAGTGTCGCGCATGTCACAATAAGTTTCTGGAGGCCTACCAGCAAAATTATAAAAACACAGAGATGCGCTACTTCAAGGAATGTACGATATCTTAACTATAAAAATATACGACAGTAAAACAAGATGTATTATTAGTCAAAAGGGACATTCATGAACTTCAAGAACATCACTCTTGCTGTGCAATAACAACAGCTAATAAGGTTAAAAATATATAAACCAATTTTCTTTCTTTTTTGCTGAACAAACAACCAAAAAAAAAGCTTTAGAAAAATATGCAGTCAGTTCTTAGATCTTTAAAACAGGCACTAAAAATTTCATACTCACACTGATATCCTTCTGGAATCAAATTTAGGTAACAAGTAGAACGGTGGGCACGCAAAGCTGATAAGTAACTTAAATCTGCTTAAGCTGTATAATTGCTAACAGCCTCACTGCCCAGGTGAGAAACATGTGACAACAGAAGTGCCGCAGTTAAAATACAATGATGGAACAAACGCCATCATTGGCTTTCGAAGTCTTCCTATGTTTGTTGGTTGCAAGCAATCAATATGCTGTATAATTCAATACTTAACTTGAAATGAACATTAAAATAGCGGAGAAAGTGTTAAAGATATAAAGCTTCAGGTGCTCCTTCTTTTTTCCGATACAATACGTTCTCCTTCGACTTTTTAAAATCATCCATGGTTACTCTCATTCGACGTTCTCGAAGTGCAAGTAGACCTGCTTCCGTACACATAGCCTGCAACACAGTCAAAAAAACAATACTTCCAAAATGAACTCTCTGTTACACAAAACAAAGCAAAATCCAAAAAAACTGCAGCATTTTTGACTTCCTTATAGGCATATACTGCTAAACAACACGAGTTTACTTTTATGTCGGCGCCGCTTAATTCATCTTTAGCGGTTACAAATTCATCCAAATTCACATCGTCAGCAAGAGTCATCCGCGACGTGTGGATTTGAAAAATCCGACGTTTTGTCTTCTCATCTGGGAGAGGAAATTCAATTTTTCTGTCAATTCTTCCTGGTCTAATTAGAGCCGGGTCCAAAGAATCAATTCTGTTTGTTGCCATTAGTACCTTAAAACAATGGCCTATTAAAAGAAACCAGTTTTTAACGTCATTCGCTGTGTGGGTTGAATTTACAGCAAGTAATATCGAAGATTTATTTGCTGAAGAAAAAAAACTAAATTTCACAACGAGGATAAACACCTTGACATCACCCCTTGAGTCGAATCCGTCCAACTGGTTTAACAGTTCTAACATGGTCCTTTGGATTTCACGCTCGCCACCTGAGTTGGAATCATATCTTTTTGTACCCACAGCATCAATCTCGTCTATGAAGACAATTGACTGAAAAACTGGCACAGACTGAGAAATGAATGCAGACAGAACAATACTTCTTAACTAAAACACAACCCTCGATTCCAATAAACGAACTAACTGGTGCATGTTCCTCTGCAACGCGGAACAGTTCCCGGACCATTTTAGGGCCATCCCCCAAATACTTCTGTATTAACTCCGACCCAACAACCCGTAAAAATGTTGCTGACGTTTGATTAGCCACTGCTTTCGCTAACAAAGTCTTGCCCGTGCCAGGAGAACCATACAAGATAACCCCTTAAACTATTCAAATAGTAAAAAATTGGAAAAAACCATTTGCATAAATAGACGCAACCTTTTGGTGGTTTTATTCCCATTTCCTCGTAATATTCTGGATGAGTAAGGGGAAGTTCGACGGACTCTTTGATTTCCTGTATTTGCTGATCTAGACCCCCAACATCAGCATAGGTTTCCTGCAGGCAGTAAAGATGAAGTTAATCATCAAATATTCATAATAACTGTAATCAATAAACTTCGTACTTACCTCCAAACAAAGAAGGTACCTTAATGAACTTTTGGGAAAGGAAACCGAACCAAACAGTTATAAAGTTAACAAATGGCTATTCATTAAACAAAGAAGGAAGAAAAACAAGTTTATCAAAAAGTGAAAAAATCTTACCTGCGGGGCTTTTTCTAGTTTCATAACAGACACCATAGGGTCGGTATCATCAGCGAGGACACCAATCACAGCATGAGTTTTATGGTTTAGAAGCACCGCACAACCTGGCTCTAGCTGTTCTTTATCGACAAACGAAAGGATTGAAACATAGTGTTCGCTTCCAACATTCTGAAATATGTACTGTTACTAACACATTTATTGCCAACAAAGACAATATAATTTTAAGTAAAGGAGTCTTCTGAGAAAAACGTCTATATATTGTTGACCCACAGACAGTTAAACCTATCCCAACCGTTTCTAGAATGAAAGTGAGAATAACCAACAGTAGAAACTATAGCATGCTGGTCATCGATTATTTCTTCCAAACTGCCAACAGCCATTGGCGTACCCCGAAGATCATTCACTTTTGCGCGCTCTTCCTAAAATCAAATATTTTCTTAAACGACCCGTGTAAAAGCAGATTTTTAGATCTATTAGAGCTGGCAGGCGTAATGTAATGACCCAACTGTAGAGCCGCATTCCTAGTCTTCATTATCACCTGTTTTGTAAGAAATGTACAACTCATAAAACACTTAAGAAGTGACCAGGACATACCATTATCGATATTCAGGGGAAAAAGTATCAAAGACTCAAAAAAAAGCGGTAACTTCCCAGAACGACGCAGAAATTCACCCACTTATCCAAAATATCTTCTGATGAAAACAAAGTCACGGTTAGTAAAGTAGCAAGAGAGGAAAAGTTAAGAAAAACGTACTTCCTGTCTCTCCTCTTGCGGTTTTAAACGTTCTTGATTTTGAATAAACTCTTGTTCCATCAACAAATAGTCTTTAATGCGTTCAAACTTAAGCAGCCTTAGACGGCACCGAGTGTGGGGTGTTACTGGAATTGCAGCAATCTTTCAGCAAAAGTAAAGGTAATTTTTTAGAAAAATGATAACCTAAACATAACCAGCTAGTTTTCTACGGAGAGCTGTGAGTAAACTGACTCTAATTCGTGAGGGAAAGCGATACTGCTTTCAATAACAAGAACAGAGGGGATCATATGATTAAAAAGCAAGAGAACCTCTTTTCAACTAGCAAAACTTCTATAAGGATATCAATAAAATTAACGCCGCAGCAGTACCTGTAGGAAGTTTTGTAGCTGCATCTGGACCCTTTCCGCCCTTTTTCCTCTTCCCTATTCTGGTTGGTATAGGGGCTTCATACTTCCTTTTCTTTTCCTGTATGAAAAGTTCTTGAAACTCAGAAAAACTGATCACAACAAAATGACCACACAACGACTTGATGGTGAATAAAGGTGGTTCAAAGTTAAAAGAATCCAAGCAAAAAAACTAGATGAAAACTTAGTAATACCATGAATTTACGGTAAGCAGTTTCCCACGGTAATATCAGAGAGAAAAAAAA